CAATACCCGTGAGAATATCTCGCGGTTTCGGCAACACCGATAATCGTCTCACACAATCGCGGCAATACCCGTGAGAATATCTCGCGGTTTCGGCGACACCGTTAATCGTCTTCCGCGATCGCGGCAATACCCGTGACCATATCTTACGGTTTCGGCGACACCGAAAATCGTCTCCCACGATCGCGGCAATACCCGTGAGAATATCTTGCGGTTTCGGCGACACCGATGATCGTCTCCCGCGATCGCGGCAATACCCGTGAGCATATCCAGCGGTTTCGGCAACACCGATAATCGTCTCCCACGATCGCGGCAATACCCGTGAGAATATCTCGCGGTTTCGGCGACACCGATAATCGTCTCCCGCGATTTCGGCAACAAAAGCGGTAGTGTTTGGTTAGCCGACGATTCCGATGACCGGGCTGTGGATTCCCGGAGGTTTGGGTGGATTCCTGGAGTTTTCCAGGACATTTCAAGGTAAGATCAAATTCCCGGAGTTTTCCCGGTTTTCCCGAATTTCCCGGAGAGTAGACACCATGTTCAATAATTTAAATGTAGTAGCTAAAAAACGTGTATTTAATGATTTAATTGAAGTAAATTAATATAGGCATATTTATATTCACTGTACTGTATATAAACAAATATCGATTGAGAAACAAACAATTACACGTAATAAAAAACCTCACTAGTCCGCTGCATTGTGATAGCTGGAAATCGTCGGAATAAAAACCGCCGCTACTAGATACAGAAGTTGGTACGCCTACAGCGCCCTCCACAGCTGCGCGCGCCGCTGGCACTGCTGCTCAACACATCCCCACCTAAAAGACGAGCAAGTGGTATGTCGGCCGGGTCGATTGACGACAAGTTGGTTTCTCGTATATAATAATTTAGTTTTACAGGCCGGTCAACTGGACTGACGATGAAATAACTTGTCGACGTACTGGTTTTCAGTATTTATCTATTTAATTAAAAAAGACGGTCTAGTGGCAAAACGACCAAGTATCTTGTCGGTCAACTGGTGGCCCCCCATTAGCCACGTCCACAGTTTTTTCTCTCTTGAAAATTACAATTCACAACATCTATTTTCAAAAGTTGGTTGCTTGAATTAAGTACACTAGAAGCCGAAATCTTCACACAACACTTTAGCTCAGCAGAACTGATGTCAAAACGTTTGGGCTTGTTTACTTGAGGTTATGTTGTTTCCTGGTTCTCACAAGACAAGGAATTCTATCTCAAGTTTATTTTCACATTGTATTTCCTTACGTTTTTGGAACGGATTATTGGCCTTAAGTGGCATTCTGCGGGTTTGCCAAGTTTAGAAAACATCACTAATGCACTAAGCTGGGCTCTAGATTTGATGTTGGGGCAAGTTAATTAGGGCAATTAGTTAGGCTTTATAACTCTGTAAAAGGTGTGTATCCCTGAATTTATAAATTTCGTTCTACGCTTATTCACTGCCAAACATAATTCAGTAGAACCTTGATGAACCGAGAATTACACTAGCCTACATTACTTAATTACCCCAAGTAAATACCAAGATAATTTAAAATTGTATTTGAATAGTATAATCTTAGTTTGTTAAAAATGGATCGTATATTCAACAATTATTGCAGTCTATTGTATTGTTATGCAGTATGGTCCCAAATTATTGTTTTTGATTTTAAACATCACAGTTCATTTGAAAAAATTAAAGTTGAAGCAGCCCAATGTCAAGTCACGCTTGTGCAATAGTTTTTTTACAAGCTCTCTCCAGACCACTGGGGAGGGTCGGGTCTGATAAGCCGTCTATTGTCCACCCCCCAAGGCGATTCAACCCTCATTAGTGCCGCTTGGCTGCACCCAGATACCACAAATCAATCTTTTAAATGAATAAAAATATTTGGTAATAATTGTTTTATTGATATTCACCTTGAAATTTCAATAAATTAGGTGTAAAATTTGACAAAAATCGGCCAATTTATTAATACAGTACCAATAAAGTACATTGGTAATTTGATTTTCGTCAAGTTTTACCCCCTGCTGTGCGCTATGTCACAAAATCTGATAACGACATGGGTGATTAGTAACCATGGCAACTAGGCAACTTGTTGAATGCGTGATGAAGGGAAACCCAAGAAATAAAAGAACAAAGAGAAAGTATAATGACGTTATCTTTATACCCTTTTTACAATTGCTGTTATTGTTATTATCTTTATGTAAGATTTTATGATTTTGTTCTATAGGTTTATAAAATAATTCTTTTTAACCACGTGCTTCTCTTCTGAAACAGCAATACCGGATGCATAATAAAGGTCAATGACCTAAAATATCATGATTGTGCAATATTGTATTTTGATGTTGAAATTCAAATCATGCCAAAATTTATATTTTTCCCCTGGTCCCTATAATTTAATATACACAATCAATGCTAAATAATCGTGGTTAGTTCTAATTTTATTTTTGATTATTCAAAGTTTCTACACAATTAGACAATCCAAAGCCAAACCGGGATGACCAATGAATACCCGAAAAACAACGTATCATGTCCTGTGATTGGAATACCACTCGCCAGTCCTTTAGATTTAGGGAAGTAGTGCAAGTCTATATATACAGGGTGTCTAGTTTATTTCCATTATAAAATTCAAGACTAATTCCAGACTTTTCAAGACTAATTCCAGATTTTTCAAGACTAGTTTTTTCAACAATTAGTGGGTGTTGATGCCAAAATGTATCGATTCTTGATTCTTGATACCGATACCAATTTTTATAGCTTAACCAAATTTTCTGAATAATACTACACCAACCCCTGTCTTTGTCATAAAGTAGTATTATGATAATGAGGTGTTTTCAAGTAAAGAAATAATGCAGCAATAAAAAATTCTAACTAGCAAATTTGGTTTTTTTATCATGAAATCTTCCACGTACCGTACGTTTAGACATCATCATTGACTGCAGCGGTTACAGAAACGTGATCGTCGTCGTCCGCGATCACGGCAAAATCATGAACGTTTCCCGCGGCCTTGTAGACATCAATGACATTATCGTCGTCTCCCGCGGTCTCAGAAACGTCATCGTCATCGTCCGCGATCGCGGCAAAATCATGAACATTTCCCACGGCCGAGCAGATATCATCGTCGTCTCCCGCGGTCACGGAAACATCATCGTCATCTCCCGCGGTCACGGAAACGTCAACGTCGTCGTCCGCGATCGCGGCAAAATCATGAACATTTCCCGCGGACGTGTAGACATCATCGTCGTCTCCCGCGGTCACGGAAACGTCATCGTCATCTCCCGCGGTCACGGAAACGTTATCGTCATCGTCCGCGATCGTGACAAAATCATGAACATTTCCCGCGGTCGAGCAGATATCATCGTCGTCTCCCGCGGTCACGGAAACGTCATCGTCGTCGTCCGCGATCGCAGCAAAATCATGAACATTTTCCGCGGCTGTTTAGACAACATCGTCATCTCCCGCGGTCACGGAAACGTTATCGTCATCGTCCACGATCACGGCAAATCATGAACATTTCCCGCGGCCGTGTAGACATCATCGTCGTCTCCCGCGGTCACGGAAACGTCATCGTCATCTCCCGCGGTCACGGAAACGCCATCGTCGTCGTCCGCGATTGCGGCAAAATCATGAACATTTCCCGCGGCTGTATAGACATCACCGTCATCTCCTGCGGTCACGGAAACGTTATCGTCGTTGTCCGCGATCACAGCAAAATCATGAACATTTCCCGCGGCCGTGTAGGCATCATTGTCGTCTCCCGCGGCCGTGTAGGCATCATTGTCGGTTCCCGCGGTCACGGAAACGTCATCGTCGTCTCCCGCGGTCACGGAAACGTCATCGTAGTCTCCCGCTGTCACAGAAACGTCATCGTCGTCTCTCGTGGTTTCGGAAACGTCATCGTCGTCGTCCACTATCGCGGCAAAATCGTGAACATTTCCCGAGGCCGTGTAGACATCATCATTGGCTTTTGCGGTTACGTAAACGCAAGACGACGAGCGCGGCAAAATCATGAAAATTCCTGACTTTGAAAAGACTAAAGACATAAGACATAAGACATATTTTATTTACACAATACGTTCTTTATAAAGTACATTTCATACATAAGAACAGGTGTTTCGTCATAGTGATGTATTATATAGTAAAATTAATAGTTAAAATAATTAAAATAAACTCATGTAGGATATCAGAGAATTTTTATCTACATTATAGGGTTCTCCAAAAATTCGTCAAGTGAATAGTAGGCTTTCTCAATTATTTTATCTTTTATTTTATCTTTGAATTGAGTAGCATTTAAATTTTTAAGATACAGGGGTAATTCATTGTACAATCTAAGTCCCATATATTGAGGGCTGTTCCTAAAAGTCGTCAATTTGTGATGTGGTAATCTGAAATTATATTTATTCCTTGTATTATAATTATGTGTAAATTTGACACATAATTATAATACAAAATCGGGAAATAATAATAATAATAATTAATAATTATGTCGGGATTGTCTAAATCCCGACTTTTCAAGACCATTTTGAAATGCAATACTAATTCCCGACTTTCCCGATTTTCCCGACTACTAGACACCCTGTATATAGCTTCAAGGTCGTCCGAACATATCTCCGAGGATATCCGAACCGAACCGAATCTGACCTGATTTTTCGGATATCCGCACACCTCTACTAAATTTTGGGGTCACTAATGGATAGTGTTGAATTTATGTTTCACAGACTAGGCTGAATTCTTAACCACAACCACAATCAGGTGTGCAGTTTTGGTTTTGTTTATTTTTGTATTGAATTTACCCTAAATGAGTTAAATTTGTATATAAAATATTTACTAAAATATCTGAAAGTTTGATTTATAATCAGCTATGAATGAAAATTGTTCAAACAACTGTTGAAGCATAGTTTCAACTTGACAAATGTTTACAATTTGTTACTTGCTTGTGCCGGTTTTTTAATGAATTTACAATTACAATAATTACAATGATGTTGAGGGACAATACTTATTGTTTCATCACCTGCCAAGCTGGTTAGCCAGGGTTTTCGCTCTGTGTTTGGTCTCCGAGGAAGAGTTCTGTGTCGCCATGTAGCAGGTGAACAGCAAACGGCCACACAACTCTCTGGCATCACGAGGAATGTAGTCAGCATCACACACCATCTTACGAACGTCTGCCAACACTTGGGCTTCTGGAACAGAATACCATCAGAAGTAGACTTACTCTTCCCCTACAAGAGCTGTCCGTGAATTAAGATCTCCATTGAGCTTCCACCAAGCTAGGAGAACTAGTCATTACCTGAGATTATAGCCATGTTTTTTTACTCCATTAATTTCTTCCCTAGTTGGATCCTTTCCTGTGTAAACCTTTTATTAAGTTTTATTTCAAAGGAAATCCAAGTGGCTAAATAGGAGTTTTAATGGAATGTAGTTCAGCTAGCTTACGTTATAAAGAGTCTAGGGGCTAAAACACAGACACAAAACATGACATTGGTGTTTTCTTTTCACATAATATAAAAATTTCTAAAATTAGATTGATAAAATCACATTTGCCCACAAAATGGCATTTTGTTAAATGGAATTAATTTGCAAAACAGCTGATTGCTCAAATCCTACTTTGCATGAAAACACAACTAAATTGTGGCTAAGTTTATTTTAACTTATCTATCTTTAGGGAGAGTTTTGGAGAATTTTGGAACCGATTCAAAAACGTCAACACTATCGGCAGACTTCAAGAATATATGGCAGGCGACCCAAAAATACCCTATCATAGAAAGTCTTAATAAATCGTGACCAAAGATTTTAAAATTAATTAATTATAAATCACATATTTTGGGTTTTGATCGACTCTACTTAATAATAGCGATCAAAGACTAATTTTTACCATCAGACATTGCAAAGCATGATTAACGACACTATTAGACTCGTAATTAGAGAAATGAGGCAAAATTACAGACAATGATGGGATTGAGTCTCAATCCTCACCTCCGGCCGCACAAGCTGTAACCACCATCCTACACATAGAGTGTACGACACACCCCACAGCCGAGGAGTCCACTCCTCCACTCAGCGGCAGAAAGTAGCCTCCCTGGCCAGACCTCCTACAACACATCGTGCAAATCAAATGGCTTTATCATACTTCATAGTTCATACTAATATTATAAATGTGAAAGTTTGTGTTTTTGTTTGTTTGAAGTTCAATCACACATTAACTACTGGTCGGATTGAGCTTAAATTTGGTGTGATGATAGCCTACGTTCCCTATTAACATATAGACATACTCTTATCTCAAGTATCTTTCTCGGGCTCCGCCCCAGTGGCTCTGGAGATTCCCCGATTGTGATGAAATTTATACACCAATAAAATATCATTCATTCATTCAGAATGCATTTATTATAAAGAAAAACAGAAACAACTCTCTACCTTTTAGCATAGTCATACCTTGTAAATAAATTACACTATTTTATGATTATTAATACAGGGTTCATTAACGTACCTGAGATAGTCCCATAGCCAACACGCTGGTGCCAGAGCTATTTCCTCCTCTGGACTGTGGTATTGCCAGACTATTGGCTGACTTGTCATACTTGTAGCACTGGCTGGGCCCGTGGAAGATAACGAGAAGTCCACAACAATCCGTGGATAAGCCTGTGTTGACAGTCAACCTCATTTATTGAACATGTTTTAGTAAATAATCATGCAAACTGAATTGAAACAGAATAAACTTAACTGTAGTAGAAAATCTCACCTCCAATTGCCTGTTCCAGGTACCAATAGATATACATGTCTGTTTATTGAAACAGGTTAGTTTTTTTACTGGTTAACAAATAAAAAAAAATATTAAACTTGTTTTTGAGAAACTGAATCTGCTTTGTTTTTCAGATTCGTTAAAATAAATATAGGTTTACACGATTTTACCACATTTCAACAAAATCATATGTCTTTGAAATAGGGTAGGAAAAACATCCATGCTAGGCCCAATTCACACAGAATGGACGTCGGGCGGGGACGTGGCACAGACGAGGCAAGGACATATGTCTCTTCCTCGCCTCTCAATGTAAACAAATTGGTCAATGCACACACAAGTGATGTGGCGCGTGCAGCCGCCATCACACCACCCCCACGTCGCTTCGCTGTCCCTCGTGGCGTATCGGAAGTGACATGCCCGTAGCGCGCCCGTTGTTCGGACTGCAAATATTGTACTTACCAACCTTGTTTGTTGTTTTGTGTTTAGAGTAATTGTGAGTTGTTTATTGTTCTTTTCCCTATGCTAGACGACATTGAATTCAATATCATATTTTGTGAGGAAGTTAAACAATTCCCTTGTTTGTACGACCACAGTCTTACAATTGAAATCTATATATTAATTTGAAACTGTTTTTCTTTGTGACAGCTATTTTGAGAGAACGGCTGGGCGTAGAAACTCGGTAGAGGTGTCTAAAGAAAGGTCCTGGTCTGTAGATGAGCCATCAAAAGAGAAACATGGAGAATTCCCTCGGGGCTCTGCCCCAGTGGCCTTTAAATTCCCATCCCATGTTATTCTTATGGAGGAAAACGAGGTTTTTGTCACAGCTAATTTGAGAGAACGGCTGGGCGTAGAAACTTGGTAGGGGTGTCTAAAGAAAGGTATTGGTCTGTAGGTGAGCCCTCAAAAGAGAAACGATGTAAATTTCCTTGGGGCTCTGCCCCAGAGACCTTTAAAGTTCACTCTGCAATTTTGTTTACATTTCGACCATATGGATAATTTTACACTACTTTTAATGAACCAGCTGTTAATATTAAAATTGTATTCAAAGGTCTACTGAAACTGTCAAAATTAAATGTTTACATTATTATTTATGATTTTAAATGGATTCTCCACTGCATGGCAAGTTTTTTATAGTTTCAACAAAATGATGAATTTATGATACGTTTGAAATGTTTTGTTCAAAAATCTATGCTTTATTGCTCTTAGAAAATTTTAAATTATGAAATAAGTGTGACTTATCAATTTCAAAGGAACATATAACTATTCCTTATCGGGTTAGCTTATACATATTGTATGGTTGGCACTTGCCTTTTTTTCCTATTTTCAATCACCATTTATTTTTAAATTCAAGAAAGAACACCTGAGATTCATTTATTGGTTTAACAGTTTTTGATAATCGGGTTGAATATTGTGTCATAGATGAGTACGTTGAGGATGAGAGCTGTGTTCAAGTTTTGGAATAGACTAACTACGGAGTCTATGGTTTTGGTAAAGTAAATACTAATGTCAATTCAGGTATTTAAAAAAAAATGTGTACACAGTTTTTACTTTGATGTACACATGTAGCTAGGTTGAACAACGCATCTAAACCTCACTACATACAAAACATTCGGAAACACAACAGTGTCATCACATCTCATCGCATTTGCATAATTTGTTACCAATGCTGGACTAGGTTATGGATTTGGTTCCGCGAATGTTCAAGATTTGTGATAATATTTCCTACAATTATGGTTCATTCCAATCCACGAAATACATGCACAGCTTTATGTGATCTATATGGCCAAGGCAAAACTACCCCATAAGTTAATGAATTATCAAGTAAGAACAGGATGATTAAATACATGGGTCGATGTGGCAAGAGAAGGATTTAAAATTGCTGAGATCGAAGTAAGAATGTTACTGCTTTCTGGAGAATCAGATATTTTTATAAAAAAAAGATGAAGATTTACTTATAAATCCGGATACAATCTGAATGATTTTCCTAAAGCAGATGGAATTAGTGGTTAGTAATAAATATTGACTCTTTCCGTAACATGATAGACTTATTATATGAACTCATTCTGCCATATAGTGAAAGTGGCTTTGGTATGAAACAAACTCATGAACAAACAATTATAAGACTCCTAAAAAACCTTTTGGGCAACCTAAAGCCGATAAAAAGAAAGGTAGGAAATATTGTGTTAAACGAATTCATCAATCACGTTTTTTAGGGAACACAATCGTCATACTTATTATTGCTTATCCTCCCTTCATATAACTAAGATTTTAATGACTTCACTCTATCCAACGCAGTTAGCTGAATTTACATAAAACCTCAAGATTAACCGTCGATTTTGACGGGGTTCCACTAGTTTAATTTAATTGAAAATCAATTCAGGCAAATGGAAATTTGCTTAGATGGCAGTTTTGCTGCGGTGGGGGTATTTGCTTATAAATAAATTCCTCAAGTTTGATCAAAATATACCCATAAACAAGCATACCGGTACTTCAAAATTTCACAATATTCTCTATAAGAATAACAAGGGAATTTTAAAATTAAAATTTTTAAATTGTCTCCATAACTAAAAAAAAAACTGTACAAAAACACTTTGACATACCGGTACTGAATTAATTGTTTTTTTAAGATCTTGAAAAGGTCTGGAAAGAATGTAGGAAATTTTGCGTTTTGAGGGTCAGAAATGAGAGAAACAAACCTTACCTATAGGGAAATTCGCTAAAAACCAAAGCGTCTAGTCTACATACATGTTTTCTTGTCACTGTACCGTCCCTTCGCCCCCCCCTTCCGTGTGCATTGTACACGCCACGTCTTTGCCACGTCCGTGCCACGTCTTCGCCTGACGTCCGTTCTGTGTGAATTGGGCCCTAGGCTTCAAGTTTTGTCTTTCTTGAGTTAATACTGATCAGTGAATGGGTAATTTGTTTTCTTACACTTTTTATGTGTAACACAAACAAATGTAAATAAACCATGGATTGTGGTTCATTGTAGAGTGTTTGGGGATTGTTTTGGAAACACTAAATTTCTTTACCGATTTGAAGTAATTGCCTTTTACTTGTAACTTATACATATACATATCAAGTAAGATACTAAAGTAGTGAATTACACAACTGAGCACCCTGGCAATATTATATTTTTAGAGAAGTATCATGTTTTGGACATGACTCCAAATTTTATTTTATCAACCGACCACAATTAAACTAATTTGAAAAATATTACAAAAATTCTCAAAATTTAAAGGAAAACGAATGGATTCAACTGAAGACTACATCATATATAAAGAAGACATGAACAAACCAAAACATATTTTAAAAAGCCTAACTCCTTTAAGAAACCCTATTTTAGAAGAAATTTCAAAATTAGATAATTAATAGCTAATAAAATGTTCCAAATGCTGTCTCTTTTTAATTTTTTTTTAAAAACCATATTACTACACATAACAACTAATGTAAACTATTCACTATTAATGAAGTTTGAAAATGGACTCATGTCCGAAACATGTTACTTCTATAAAAATAACTTTTTGATCAGCATTGTACGTGTTATTAAATTTACGGAAAGTAAATAAAGAGACGTCTTATAACACTTCAAACATATATTTACGCTTATACTCTGTTACTCACAAGACGGTAAATGTACAAAAAAGATGGTAAGTGGTGATAGATTTTGATTGGACACTTCAATAATCATCAGACTCAATAGGCGAATGTTGGCCAATCATCGATCACCACTTACCATCTTTTTTATATTTACCGTCTTGTGGGTAACAGTATAAGCGTAAATATATGTTTTAAGAGTTATAAGACATCTCTTTATTTACTTGCCGTTCTATAAAGATATAATAATGTAAGGGTGCTCAGTTCAGTCAGTGTTTAATTTACTACTTAATACAGGGTGTCACAAAAAAGTGTGATGGGCTATACAGGACCTAATTCTACATGCAAAAATAAGTCAAAAATGAAGAATAAAATTTTTTGGATTTCGGCTTAGTTTAGCCGTAATCCGCCATTTTGTTTTTTGGGGAAAATATTATTATTTCAAAATCCCTTTGAGATATTTTTACGAAAATTGGCAAAATTTTTTACACTATAGTAAGTAACATTTATAAAAAAAAATATTATTTTAACTTTCCAAATTTCAAAATGGCGGCCGTTTGAATTTTTTAATGCCAAATTTCATGAAAACCGGTACCTAAATCAAAATTTTGTAAGAGACAAAAGTTTTAGTATTTATTATGACAAATCCAACAAAACAATACCCCCGCCGCAGCAAACCTGCAGACTAAGCAAATTTCCATTAATCTGATTGGATTTACACTAAAATGCCTTCATAAAAATAGCACATTTATTTCCTATTTAAATAGAATTAGTTTAACGAGTACTTAGGTTTGCTGCAACAGGGAGGGTAAAAAAGATTTTTTTTATAAAATGATAATAGTTTAGTAAGAAATAAAAGTATTTTCCAAAATCAATCAAAATATGTTCATAAACAAGCAAACTACAACAGTTGACTTATTCTCCATAAGAATAACATGGGAATTTTAAAATTACAATTTTTTTGAATTTTCTCCGTAACAATTAGGCGCATAATAACGCTTCAATATACTAAATTATTTGTTTTTTTAAGCTCTACAAAATGGTTTAAAAAGAAATTGTGAAATTTTGTGTTTTTAGGGTCAAAAATGGGAAAAACCTATTTTTACCCCATAAAACCCCCCATAAACCCCCGTTCCCATAGTCCGATCATGCTGGTTCGCGAACTCATTCAAGTTTATCCCGCCTTACACCTTCAAACCAAATTTTATCAAAATCGGACAAAAATTACTCAAGTTATCGTGCGGATGGACACATATATATATATATATATATATATCTAATATATAAAATTCTCGTGTCACAGTGTTTGTCTGCAAACTCCTCCGGAACGACTTCACCGATCGTTATGAAATTTGGTGTGTAAATTCTGTAGGTATGCGAATCGGACGTAAACTATTTCCCGTTTCGAAATTCTTAAAAGGGCTCCGCCCCAGTGGCTCTGGATTTTCCCATGTTAACCTTATGAGAAATGGAATTAATGAATCTTAACAGCTGTTTCAATTAAACAAGTTGGTTCTGTTCTATGATGTTCAATAGCATTAAAGTTACAAGGATTACCAACAGGGTGCAGCACTATTATTTCTTTTACATTTATGACAACAGCTAATTTGCAACCAAAAGGTGAGTGAGCGTAGCGAACGAACTTCAACCTGGAGGCGAGTTAGCGTAGCGAACGAGCTAACCTGAAGGCAAGTGAGCGCAGCGAACGAGCTCCAACTTAAAGGTGAGTGAGCGTAGCGAACGAGCTCCAACCCAAAGGTGAGTGAGCGTAGCGAACGAACTTCAACCAGGACGTGATTGAGCGATGCGATCGAGATCATCTTGAAAATTAAACGTAACGGTACTTTCTTTCCATCGGTCTGTCTTAGGGGAAACCTTTAACTTAGGCGATACGAAGTTCGCCGGGTCAGCTAGTATCTAATATATAAAATTCTCGTGTCACAGTGTTTGTCTGCAAACTCCTCCGGAACGACTTCACCGATCGTTATGAAATTTGGTGTGTAAATTCTGTAGGTATGCGAATCGGACGTAAACTATTTCCCGTTTCGAAATTCTTAAAAGGGCTCCGCCCCAGTGGCTCTGGAGTTTCCCATGTTAACCTTATGAGATATGGAATTAATTAATCTTAACAGCTGTTTCAATTAAACAAGTTGGTTCTGTTCTATGATGTTCAATAGCATTAAAGTTACAAGGATTACCAACAGGGTGCAGCACTATTATTTCTTTTACATTTATGACAACAGCTAATTTGCAACCAAAAGGTGAGTGAGCGTAGCGAACGAACTTCAACCAGGAGGCGAGTGAGCGTAGGGAACGAGCTAACCTGAAGGCAAGTGAGCGCAGCGAACGAGCTCCAACCTAAAGGTGAGTGAGCGTAGCGAACGAGCTCCAACCCAAAGGTGAGTGAGCGTAGCGAACGAACTTCAACCAGGATGTGATTGAGCGATGCGAACGAGATCATCTTGAAAATTAAACGTAACGGTACTTTCTTTCCATCGGTCTGTCTTAGGGGAAACCTATAGCTTAGGCGATACGAAGTTCGCCGGGTCAGCTAGTATATATATATATATATATATATATATAGATATATATATATATAGATATATAAAAATTTGAACGAATGGTGTTTTTGGCCTCTGGGGACATCAAAATGAAAAAGTAAATCGGACCCGGGCTTAGGTCTTACCATGAGACCTACGGTAATAGCTACTTCCCTATAGGGAAATTCGCTAAAAATGAATAAAATCGGTTCATAAATAAAGAAGCTGTGTTTATTTTAGTAATTTATACTGAAATTACTTAATAAGTTACATAAATTATTACATTACATTTAATACATTTTAATATTAATAATTTCAGTCTAAATTACTAAAATAAACACAGCTTCTTTATTTATGAACCGATTTTATTCATTTTTGTTTTGTTGGATTTGTCATAATAAATACTAAAACTTTTGTCTCTTACAAAATTTTGATTTAGGTACCGGTTTTCATGAAATTTGGCATTAAAAAATTCAAACGGCCGCCATTTTGAAATTTGGAAAGTTAAAATAATAATTTTTTTTATAAATGTTACTTACTATAGTGTAAACAATTTTGCCAAGTTTCGTAAAAATATCTCAAAGGGATTTTGAAATAATAAATATTTTCCCCAAAAAACAAAATGGCGGATTACGACTAAACTAAGCCGAAATCCAAAAAATTTTATTCTTCATTTTCGACTTATTTTTGCATGTAGAATTAGGTCCTGTATAGCCCATCACACTTTTTTGTGACACCCTGTATATCAGCAGCCCTATTTCATGAACACCAAAATCAAAACTGAACGGCTCAATAAATCTTGAATCTTGAAAACATGCAAGATACATTAAGTATAGATTACCTTAGCACTGCCGCTAAGAGTGCACCTAGACCTCCAGAAGTTACGATAGGTTCGGATATCTTCCAAATCTATGGTCGCAACTGTCACCTCCTGCAAATCACATTATTTATTTTTAACTTGTAAATAGCAGAATTGTGAGAAAACAGTAACTTAATAAGATTATCTTGAACAGTTAACTCACCACCTCCTGTAGACTGAATTGTTGACTCCTGGCGATGATTTCTCCGTTGAGTGCAATGCACGAGCAGCCGTAAAAGAACACCCTCTGACCATCGCACCCTCGGAAATTATTGTACAAGTAGCAGCCACCAGCCTACAAATTAATACCTGTACATTATATGCTTGTAATAAATTTAGGTTAAAATAATTCCTAAATGTATTAAAGTAGTTGACATTTATTGCATTGATATTTGATATTGATTTTTGTTTTTTTTTGTGAATATTTCTTGAGACTTGAGTAAGTTTTGAGCTTAATAGTTAAAAGTTATACACTTTTATACCTTGATATAATAGAACATTATACATTTTTTCAGTAGTAGGTTAGGTTACCTCAAGTATCGCAAAGTGATTTAGATTGTTTTACAGAATTTCCCATATAGGGAATAAGCTATTACCGTGGGTCTCATGGTAAGACCTGGAAATTTGTATCAAAGGGGTTAAAAAACATAAGGTAATATATAACCTACTATTGTGTGATCCAGAGGCTACGCCACATTCAAATATCTTTTTGTTATTTTGCAAATTTTCAAGGGCTGTTTTTAAAGTAAGGGCAGTTTTTGCGTTTGAATCCGTAGTTCCCTTGTACACTGCAACGAGGCTCCTTGCCACTTACTGGCATCATTTGGGAACAGAATTACACCATTTGTAGCTCTGTAGATGACATGTACGCTTGCTGTCTGATTTTAAGATTTTATTAACTATCGAATCTCTTACTGCAAGCGAGATAGAATGTAGATGAATTTGCTATATTTGCATAGAAATAACAGCGCTTGTTTTAATTATGGAGAAACCATTTCTTATAGACTCGTATTATACGGCAGCTATCAGGCTAACAGATTTACCTTGTAAGTGGCAGATTTGACTAGATCTACCGTCGTGTTGGTTTTCCGAAGTTCCATGTAAGAACCTGAGCCATTGACTATGATTTCCACACCATCCACCGACAATGGAATATGGGAACTGCAGCAAATAATACAACTACTAGTACTGATCAGATTCTGTTCCTATAGCTTGTTTTAGCTATTTTCAGCTATTTATAACTTAAAGGAACTAAGTAAACAAGAGTTGGAATTTTTTGAATATAAGGGGGAATTGATATTTATCTTTTATATTTAATGTTTACATTTTGATTAGTGAATTTAAAACCTTGCTACAGTACAAAAAAAAATCCTACTAATATTATAAATGAGAAAGTTTGGATGTGGATGTATGGATGTATGTTTGTGACAAGTAAACGCATTAACCACTGGACGGATTTTGCTGAAATTTGGCATGATGATAGCTCACATTCCCGATTAACATATAGGCATATTCTTATCTAAAAAATCCTTTCGGGCTCCGCCCCAGTGGCTCTATAGTTCCCCATGTTAACCTTATGAGTATTCATATTAAAAGGGAATTAAATAATTTAGTCAGCTGTTTCAACTAGCTGGAAAAGTTGGTTCTATGATATGCAAAAGCATTAAAAACTTACAAGGATTACCAACAGGGTGCAGCACTATTATTTTTTTTTTTTATTTATGACAACAGCTAATTTGCAACCGAAAGGTGAGTGAGCGTAGCGAACGAACTTCAACCTGGAGGCGAGTTAGCGTAGCGAACGAGCTAACCTGAAGGCAAGTGAGCGCAGCGAACGAGCTCCAACCTAAAGGTGAGTGAGCGTAGCGAACGAACTTCAACCAGGACGTGATTGAGCCATGCGAACGAGCTCACTTATGAAGTAAAACAGGGCAAAGCCCGCGGGTACAGCTAGTAAAAATATATATATAGGAGGGCAATTAAAAAGTGGACAGGCCTAATTGATTTTAAATGGTAAAATTAACCATCTGTAATACAATGTACATCCAGGTTTCAGTAGAAGATTGTGTTCTTAGATTAGATTAGAAGATTGTGTTGTTCAGAGGTTTATTGCGGACATTTTCCATCACATAGTAAAGAACAATACACAACGTTTATGTCCGCAATAAACCTTTGAACAACGTTAACTCACCATTACCAACAATGAACTTAAATCAATCAATCAATCATCAATAAAATCTTTATTCAGAATGTACAGATACATTGTACATGAATGCGTCATAATTTTATTTTTAAATACATTACTTAAAGTTTAAAACATCATATAACAGCAGTTTTTAGATAAAGTAAATACAATTAGCCTACTTAAAGTTAAAACAAATCATTCAGACTGTAAAAAGAATTTGCTATTAATAGTATATTTCGTACCTAGTGTACCATATTCTGATAATTTGTACCATAATGTTACAATAGTTTGACACTCATACCATCATGTAACCACAATTTCTGTTTAGGTTGGCAATATGCAAAATCAGGCGATATTTCTAATAAAGCAGCTCATGGCTATTTCCCGTGACGTCACATCACGCCACCATCACACCACCTTTCCGAACAAGCCTAAATCCCCTCTCCTCAGGTCAGTCCACACCATGTATTAGTCCCGTCAACATCATATACCCTTTGCGGCCCTCTGAGTGTTATTCAAAATGTAACAAGTGTATTTATTACAACACCCCATCCCTGACCCCAAACGTACAGTACGATGACGACGTATCGTACAACTGGCGACGAGGAACACGGAATATTATCGCGTTTTAAAACTTAAATTCGCGAACAAAGTGACAGTGCAAGTGAACAAAGTTACAGTGCAAGTGAACAAAGTGACAGTGCAAGTGAACAAAGTGACAAGTGAACGTGAAGAAACGGTCGACGAACGTCAAACAACCGCGAATATTGACTCAGACTCATATTCTTGGCGGAAACGTTTTCGTGAGTGTAGAAAGGTACACCTAACATAACGTTATTCTTTGTTTTATGGACGTAATATTAGACTACGGACAGTTAAATAAGTGTAAAAAAGGCACTTATGCCGTTGACTGAAAGTTATTTCGAACAATTCGGACAGTTAGCGGAAACGTATTTTTCAACAAACATGGCAACAATTGGTAATATCGGTCCTTTTGACAGCGCCGAAGAAACTTGGCAATCGTATACAGAGCGATTTGAACTTTTTGTAGACTGCAACGGGATTAATGCCACAAAAAAAGCGAGCACACTACTAACGGTAATGGGAGTCAGGACGTATAAATTGTTAAAGGACTTAATCACACCTGATAAACCTTCGTCCAAGACGTACGAGGAAATTGTAGACACGGTCGGTAAACATTTACACCCGAAACCGTCGTTTATTACAGAACGTTTTAAATTCAGCCGCAGACATCAGTTAGAACACGAAACAGTGAGTGATTATATCGTACAACTTAAGCAGCTATCGCAACATTGTGAGTTTGGGGGCAAGCTTCCAGACCATCTACGCGACAGACTGGTATCAGGCCTCAAGAACCACCACATCCAGAGACGACTGCTGGGGGAGGATAACCTGACCTACGACAAGGCAGTACAGCTGGCAACGTCAATGGAGTTCGCCGAGAAAGGAGCAGCCCAGATGACGCTTAATCCAGGAGGACGACTTCAGCGCCTCAGCCAGACGACAAGGACAGCACCAAGCGGAAGCGGGGGAAAATTCGCAGCCAACAGAGGTTCGGCAACGTCACAGCCCCGGGAGTGCAACTGCTGTGGAAAGAACAATCACAATACTCTGCAATGTCGGTATCGTGAGTACAATTGCAATTACTGTAAGAAGAAAGGACATCTTGAAAAAGCTTGTAGATCTAAGAGTAGAAGTGCAAATAGGCCCCATTTTAGTAAACAGTATAATGATGTATCTAAGACTAATGGACAGTCTAGGGGAGGAAATAAGTCGTATTTTAATTCAAAGTACAGTAATGCTAATGCTAGGCAACATTATGTAACAGAAAATGTCCCTGAACAAAGTGTAGACGAAGACACGGTATATGACATATCTAACTTATTTCAGGTACAGGGAGTAGAAGTTAGGAAAAAAGTAGAACCAATTAGAGTGCAATTAGAGGTAGAGAGCAAAAAGATCCTATTTGAAATTGATACCGGAGCTTGTGTGTCAGTTATATCTGAAAAAGATTACAAAGTAAAGTTAAGACACGTAAAGTTACTACCAACAAGCTTAGTTCTTAGTTCGTACACACACGAAAAGATCGTACCTATCGGTAAACTATGTGTAAATGTAAAACATGAAGGTATTTGTAAACAATTAGAGCTGTATGTTGTCCCTAACGGTGCAAACCCATTGTTAGGTAGGGATTGGATGAAAGCACTGCAGCTAGTTGTTAGTATCAAAAATAGTAGTAAAGTAAACAATGTTCAATCAGCTGTGGATGACAGCTCAGTTGGTACACCTGTCAGCTGTTCTGCTAGCAGAATGGTCGACACTAGCGCGCCGACTGAGGTGGCCGACACCGCAGTTACCAATGTAAACAAACAAACAAATGTCACAGTACATCAGCAGGGCAAGCAGCTAGTTAAACATTTGTATGAGGAATTCCCTGATGTTTTCACAGACAAGCTAGGTTGTTTTAAGGGAGAACCAGTCAAACTTAAACTAAAACCTAATGCAACCCCTAAATATCATAAGCCAAGGACCTTACCTTTCACACTTAAAAATAAAGTAGAAGCAGAACTAGCACGTTTAGAAGCAGAGAGTATTATTTCACCAGTAAATTCAAGCCAATGGGCTACCCCTGTAGTACCAGTTTTGAAAACAAATGGTCAGTTAAGATTGTGTGGAGACTATAAAGTAACGCTAAATCCTTTCTTAGAGATAGACAGACACCCTTTACCTAAGATTGAAGAATTGTTCTCCAGTTTGCAAAATGGAGACAGGTTTTCTAAAATAGATTTGTCACAAGCGTATCAACAACTAAGACTAGATGATGAAAGTAAAAAGTTATGTACAATTAGTACCCATAAGGGCTTGTTTGAGTACAATAGATTATGTTATGGCATATCATCTGCTCCTGGTATTTTCCAGCGCACAATGGAGCAAACCTTACAAGGAATACCAGGTGTAGCGGTATTTCTAGATGACATTCTTGTAACAGGACAAAATGACTCTGAACATATTAGTAAATTAAAGTTAGTTTGTAAACGACTACAAGACAATGGTTTCACAGTCAGTAAAAGTAAATGTAAATTTTTCTGTGAAAGTTTAGAGTATCTAGGGTTTGTCATAAGCAAACGAGGGTTGGAAACTTCACAAGACAAGGTCAAAGCCATTGTAAACGCCCCAGAACCAAAAGATGTCACCCAATTAAAAGCATTTTTAGGCTTAGTTAACTACTACGCTCGTTTTATACCTAGAATCTCAACCATACTTACCCCTATGTATATGTTATTGAGGAAAGACACTGAATTTGTATGGAATTTAGCGTGTAAGAAAGCTTTTGAAGAAGTTAAGCAAAAACTAGTATCAGCCCAAGTACTAGCTCATTTTGACCCTAAGTTAAAGTTAACGTTAGCATGTGACGCTAGTGCCTATGGTATAGGTGCAGTTCTAAGTCAAATTCAAACAGACGGTACTGAAAGACCTATTGCATTTACAAGTAGAGTGTTAAATGATACTGAAAAGCAGTATTCACAGATTGACAAAGAAGCTCTTAGTATAGTGTATGGAGTTAAAAAATTCAACCAGTACTTGTATGGTAACCATTTTTTGTTAAAAACAGACCACAAACCGCTTGTAGCTATTTTTGGACCTAAACAAGGTTTACCTGCATTTGCAGCTAGTAGGCTCCAACGCTACGCATTGTTTTTATCAGGTTATCAGTACGACATTTCTTATGTTAAATCCGAATGTAACGGAAATGCTGATGGTCTATCACGTTTACCAGTAAGTAATCCTGTGAACGATGAAATCAATGACAATGACTTAAATGTAAATATTGTAGGTACCTATTTACAGTGTTTAATTGAGAGTGAACTTCCTCTAAGTTATGTGGAAGTAAAACGAGAGTCAGCACTAGATCCTATACTAAGTAGAGTGATAGGTTATGTTAGATTTGGATGGC